TTTGTGCATAGACAAACTATATATAACTATATATAAATACACATAATATACAAATAAAAAATGTATGTGTATATATGTATATGTATATATATATATTTATATTTATATTTATGTACATAGATATATATATACACACATACACACACACATACATATACTACATTTATATGTACATGTATATTCATATTCACATTTGTTTACGCTTCTGCATTATATGTATTCATTCACATTTATTTGTATATACCGGTATAAATATATAGTCCTTTCAGTGATTTGGACGTGGCCTGTAGACTGCCGGAGCGCAAGCCCCGGAAATTCCTTGATCGGGTGCCGAAATGAAAACTCCTCAACAACTGAGTTCCCAAGCCTTAAATCACCTCCAGAGTCTTACCTGCCTGCCTCTGACGAAGTCTCAAGAATCCCACAATCTCAAGGTCCTACCCTCCAGACCCCAGGCCCGATCTTTAATCTAGACTCTAGAACCCCAATCCCAAAACCCTTTTTTGCATCAGGGCTTGTGCAATCGCCTGAATGTCTGAGCATGCGGAGGTTCAGCTGACATGATTGCACTGCCATACAGTGCTCAAGAAACTTGCACGGGCCACCTCAAAAACACACATGTGCGATCGCTTGTATGTCTGAGCATACAGAGGTTCAGCTCTCATGACGTCGCTTCCATACCTTGCTGAGGAAACTCGCAGGGACCACCTCGAAAACACACACACGATTCCAGAGCCAGTTGTGAGTAATGCACTTCCCGAAAAGCGACCAAATATCCGTCAGCAGCTTGACTGGACACCAAGAGTTGGTAACAAAGATGACTTCCCAACATAGCCATATGAACCAGAAATAACTCCAGACACTCCCTATTCAGCTCCAACCCCAAGATCATACTGCATGATGCCATCTTCAGCATCCAGGAGACAAAGGCCTCATAATTGTTGGAAACCGCGGATCACAACATCGTATGATGTATACAGTTCTAAGGCAAGCAATCTCATGTTTAGAGGCCGATCCCAAAACGACCACGAAGTGGCAAAACAGAAGGTGCGAGGCAGCAGTTCCCAAGTCCATATGTTCTGTCCTACTGCCTTGCACGCATCACGGTCTTCTGCCTTCTGCACCAACATTGATTCAAGCTCTGGCCGTTGCTCAGGCACCAGAGGAAAGAGCTATGCAGTGCAGTACAACTTGGAAGCTTTTTGAACAAGCCAGTGCAGGGGAGTTCGCCATGGTCCTGCACGACCGCCTCGAAAATCACGAATGCCAGTCAGCAACGCAGCACGAGCGAGGTGATGGGCAGGTCCTATGTGAGCGTCCAAGTACATGTACGCAACCGGTTTCGCAAAACCTGTACCACCATTGCCGCGGAATAAGCCACATGTTCAGGAATGAAGAGCTTCCAAGGTTTGGTTATAGCCAGGTTGTGTAAGGTACGCACATGTTGAATGTTGTATTGAACCTGGGTCCACCAAAGGCATAAACTATTGAAAGCGGCTGCTTATACATGTTGAGAAAGCGGAGGCCGTTCATGGGCTGTGTCCAGCGCATACAGCGCATGACGGGGCGCAAATCCACCAGGGCATGCTGACAAGCCCGTAATGTGTTACTAGTACTCTGCGAAACGTCGTCCCAGAGTGAGCAAACTGCATGCTTGCGCAGGGAGCACGCATGCGTTTGCCATTCGCCTAACTAAGAGAACGAGTCCCTCGGAAAGGTGGCTCTGCTCACCGCCAGGAAGGGTGACTCAGTGACTGACAAAATGACTGAGTGCCGCACGCAATGACCCAAAAAGTGTGGTAGCTTGGCTCCAATCCCTGAGGCACCGGAGCAAGTCATCGACATATAGCCCCAAAACAAAAGAGCCATGCAGGTTCTCTGATCCCGCAGCAACCCACTGTTCCTGCAGCTCATCCATGACAGACCCAAAGATAGCACTGAGCAAGGTGCTGGACTGTGTGCCCCTTGCTGAATCCCTTTGGTCTGCTCAACTTCAATGGAGTCCTCTTCCGACTGGGAACGCCATCACACATCAGTGACGACTTGCGTGAGCCCCGCTGCTTCCTTACGCATGATGTACTCGGCAACTTGACTGTGTAAGACACTGTCGATGGCTTCCATGGTGTCGCTGCTAAAGAAGACGCTGTACTTTTGCATGACCGACTCCCTGTCAAAGCAAGCTGCCGTGGCAAAAGGGCATCCAGGACCTGGCTGCCTTTGAGGCCTCCAACCTGTCTCTTTGGCATCGCCCAGGTACTTGCGACTCTGGAGACGAGTATCGTAGTGTGTGTGTGTGTGTTTTTCGGACGATGTCGAGAAGATTAGAAGGTCTCAGGTCGTTGGCATGAGCAACTTGTTGCTGTTTTGGATAATAAGTAGACAAAGGACTCCTTGTAGGCACCAGGCTCATCTCCATCTCTCAAAAGACGATCAAAGTGAAGACGCAAGGTTTCCAACCCTTCTGCATGCTGGACAAGCTCCTTGAGAAACTCGCTCGACATGCCCGAAAGTCCAGAAGATTTCCCTGTTTTCAACTATATAACAGCATCTCGGGATAGTCTCTTGCTGAGTCACCGGGTTGTGGGAATAAGCGCAAGTAGTGGAGAGGAAATTGCCCACAATGCGATCAACTGTGTCTTGCTCTTGTTCAGGACTGTCTGTAGCGAATAGCTTCCCGAAGCGCAGTTTATGTGCTCTGCCTGTACAGACGGAGATATTGATGATCGGGGCTTCATTCGTTGTCGAAGTAGCGCGTGGCATCCGCATTCCCTGCCGCAGACTGACTTTCAAGATCTTGCCACCAAAGCTTTCGTGACGCACTCGAAGCCCTACAATGCCCCTCGTATACTGGGGTTCTGCGGACACAGTTAGCTTCGCTCCTTCTGAGTCTGCAACGCTCTTTGATTTCCGGAGTGTCGTGGTATTTGAGGGACGGGGTGCGAAAGGAAACGAGAGTGGAGAATTCTTTCAGAACCTCCCACTGACCAGCCACACCGATGTCATCAAAAAAAGCTTACCCGAGTCAATATGGGCGGTCAACTTGGTTTTGTCGATTGGAAAGGCACCGCACGCCCTTCTCCTTCGCAATTTTCTCCTTCTCGACGAAGTTTTGAAAGAAAAGCGCCTGGAGACCGCAGCATGGTCGGTTCCCAGCTCATGTTGTGCATCTGGAATACCAACCAGGATGGCAAAAGAATCCTGCCGAGTGTATGACAACAACTTTGGTCTAACGAAAAATCAAAAGTAGTCGTACTCACTGGAGCTGTATGTGCCAAAACGTGTGGGATCTCCTGGTCTGTAGGACACACACAAAGTAAAGCTCTGTGACCGCCCTCAGCGGCGTTCCAATCTCCTGCTAAAACCACCGCATCCCTGGAGTGCGCGCGAGGAAGGCACTCAGCTCGAGTACTGCGCCGGCAAACTGATCATCTGAATTCTCGGAATGTGGAAAAATGAACTGAGATCAACCAAAAAACCCTAAACCCCCAAACCCCACGGGGACCCCTAAACCCTAAACCCTCAGCCCCAAAACCCTTAACCCTAAGCCCCAAGCCCCGAACCCTAAACCCGAAGCTCCCTAGAACTTCGCGCCGAGCACATGCGAAGCCTTGTTGCGCTCGCGGAAACAGAGTGATGGCAGTGTGCCCCCGTAAATGTCTTCGCCAGCTTCCGAGCTTCCTTTCCTGGGCGCTATTTAATTTGCCATACTAGGGAATCTACAGTAAATCAATCAGGTTTCATTATTGTGGTGACTTAAACTGAGCTCCCTAACAAGAACCCAGTTTCCACTGAGGATACACGGGTGGAAGTCCATGCGGCTGCCGGCGGAATGGTCAACTACCATCATGCCTTAGCTGCGGCTGCTCGTCGAGGTAGCCAAAACTTGCAAGAACATGGGTAGCCCTGTAAATTAGGATCCTTTCCTAGGTCCCCCAAATAGCACGAAAAGGACCCGAAAGGGACCCGGGTTTAAAGAACTACCCACAGAGTGCTGGATTCTATTCCTCATGTACATGATCACAGCTGGAAAGTGTAAAACGATGTTCACGAGCAGCCTAGACACCCCCATGATTTCTCTGACCACCTCCATTGAACATCTGCGGTTCCCATGCTGGAAGTCGCAAAGGGCGGTTGGTTGTCTTGTCGACACAAAACGTCCCAACGTAGTCGGCCGCTGAGAAGACGGTTTGCACAGCGTATTCCTGGGCAGAATGTTCAAGCTTCAAGGGTTTTGGGTTTAGGTCGTTTGTTCCCTTACGAAAAGCTACCTCTAACAAATGCCAGGGAAGTTGACACGTTCTCCAGCGTGCCACCTAGAATCGGACTTTGTGTCGAGCCAAATGGTGCTAATCCCCTTTGCCATTTGCTCATGACCTCGAAGTAGCCTCTTCAACCCGTTCGAATACAAGAACTGGAGGGCGATATCCCTGCCAAATCTCCAGGCGCCTGCGCCGCGAGGAGATGCATCCCATCCGCTTCCCTCGTGGGGGTCTGCCCATACCATCTCCGCGCCAATACCCGGGCTCAAGCATTCTCGGAAGTTGCCCCTTTGGTTCGAGCATGCCTTCACAAAAGTTGGGGAGATGCCCCCGTGAGTGGCCATGAACCCCCCCGGCAAGACCGCAACAAAGGGCAGCTTGGAAAATACGCTGTTGAATTGACGCCAGAGCGGAGATTGCGCAGAGTGCATCGAGTGCTGGCCGTAGCGGCCATAGGATTGAGGATTTGCCATCTTCCATACCCTGTCTAGCTTGTACTCAACCTCCTTGCTGAAGCCATAGTATTCATTTGTTGCCGCTTGCTCGTGGTTGCCTTGGAGCAGGATTATGCCGGAAGGGCACAATGCTTTGTAGGCGAACAGGAGCATGACGATCTCCACACTTCGTTCGCCGCGATCCACGTAATCGCCCATGAAGACATACTGTATCTTTGGGTCGCAAATCAAAAGCTTGGATGCGGGATGAAGGGAAAGGTACTTTATGTTCACTTGTGTATGGAGGTCAAGGAGGAACGCGAGCAAGTTGAAGAGCTGTCCATGCAAGTCTCCCAGGACCACCGTCGCCTGCTTGGCCGTCACCGTGCGACTGTAGCGCTCTGCATACAGCTCCGGTTCGAGCACCTCCCGCTCGAAGGCCCTCAGAAAGGCCGTGATGTCCCCAGAATTCATTCCAGGCACTTGGCTGTACCTGTCTATCTTCGTCAGTGCCGTCTGCTCCATGCTTTGGATGTACAGGGCCGCGCTCCTCTTGAGGTCGTATGTGGAGGTCGACAAGGCCGACCGGATGGAATGCACGTGGCCTATGCTGGCCGCACAGGCCAGGGCAAGAAGCCTCAACGCCATGGCGTCAAAGACTTTAGG